CAAATCACCTCTGGTGGGATGAACCAGGGTTCCAGTAGGATCCTTCCTGGATTCATGGTGAAATGCCCAACAGCTAGGGACTATGTGCTTCCAGTGTCCACAGCAGTTGGGTAGGCTGCCTCATGGAAAGCCAGGGTCTGCCTCTACATAGAAATTAGCCATGCTGGAGATGTCTCACACTCTGCCTTAGAGGTGGAAGGCTAAAAGCCCTAAAAATCCTGGCTATGTATTAGGGACCCTAGACATGTAGATACAGGTACTAGAAATCAGTTCATTAAACTAATGCACCGACGTGCATGTGTAGATGCTGACTGGCAGCCAGTTGTTCTTAGTCAGCAGGAAGCCACATGGGGTGGGGAGAACTGTCCTGGCTCAGTGGGCAGGACAGGTCCTGATCTCCACGTGACTGGAAGGTGGGTGCCCAGCAGCTCGAACAGCTTTCCTAGCCACATGGAGATCAGGATGGGTCCCAATCTCTTCTTGGCTGGAAGGCAGCTGCCCAGCAGCTCGGACAGCTCTCCCCCACCCTGCAGATGTTGGGACCAGCCCCTATGCCCCCTTTGAGCCCAGGGCTGGCACCTGGGGGAGCCTGGAGCTTCCTCTGGCTACTGCAGGAGGTCAGAGCAGATCAGGAGCAGCCCTGGACTGAACTGCTCCCATTAGGAGCAAATTTGCTCCCCACAGGTGCATGTTTAGATGCATGCAGGGCCACAGTTTAATATACCTGAATTTCCTGTGCAGAAAATGTGAGCGCATTACTTGCACATGTAGATGTACCCACAGTCTATGAAAGAATCACTTCTCCCATACTATTTGCTGAATTCTAAGAGATAAACATGATGAGGAAAAGTTACAATGTTTACCAAGACTTCAAACTAGGCTACACATTTTATTTAAAATACATGCCATGGAGCCTGTCCACCAGTGCTGTCATTGACTGATTTTCTGCTCTACTTTGATTCAATCTGCATGTTCTTTTTTAACATTATTTTGCTATTAAATTCAGTTTATTTTATGGTGCAAAGCCATTTTAAAATGTTACCATCCTGAAGACTGTTATACTGGTGAGAAGGAAGTTCTCTCTGTAGTGGTAAAGGAAGAAAGTGGGATTGTTTTGATGGCCAAGGAATAAGTGAGCCTTGGCAAGAAATGTTATTGGGTATATGTGGCAGGGTGCTTAAGGTGCCGGCCGCTTTAAGAGGAAAGGCAGCCTGAAAAGCAGACTACGGGTGGTGAAGGGGGCTAATGAGCGCTTCACTTGATTAGGAAAGGGAAGGACTTAGAAAGGATATAAGCCCAGACCCTGAGATGAGCAGGCAGTAAGATTTTGGAAGCTGCTGAGGAAACTTTGGCTTAACAGGATGTCTTCAGCTCCTAAAAGCCAGAAGGAAGAGTACATTCATCAGTCTGGAGGTTTGGGAAGGGACTGAGGGATGGAGGAGGTTCCTGGGGACCCAGAGAGGGGTCCAGGAGCCCAGAGAGAGGGGCTCAGTGTGTTGAGGTCCTGGAGAGGGGCTGAGAGAGATCAGAAGGGAAATAGCAGTAAGTGATGACACCTGCAAGGCACGGGGCATGGTGTAGGAGCACACTGAAGCCATGAAATTAGGTCCATGAGGCAGTGACCACAGATACCTCATGGTCATTAGTGAAAGCAGATTGGGAAGTCCTGGGTCAGCCTCCCCCATATAAAAGTAATTAAACCAAGGTATGGTTGGTGATAGAAGGGGTGACTGCCCACAGTAAGCAGAGTGAGCAAGGGCAGAAGGGATTCCAGGTGCTTCACAGCCACCCCTGGAGAGACACCCTGCTACAGTATATGCTTAGGCAGTTAGAACCTCTGCTCTGAAAGAGAAGATGCATCTCCAATTCCACTTTAATAGATTGGTAAAAAAGACTATGCTGGGAGTAAAGCAGTTAAATATCTTACTGCCCAGTCTAGGAATACTTGATGCCACCTCACTATTTGCCACTGTGTTCAGCAAAGAACAAATATGGCAAATTTCCTTGATATTTCTGCTAAAGTACAGAAGAGTTAATACCAATATTTCCCTTTGCCTTTAGACTGAAGGATCAATTCTGGCATTGAGTTGAATAGGGTCAACCTTGAGTCCTTACCTTGCAGTGTTACTGTTTCAGCTATCTGCAGCCTCAAGCAAGTATCAAATTCCTGTCATATTTTAAAAGATTACCTTTGTAACCATGATAAGATCTAGAGCAGAAAGCCTAGATTCACTGAGATATTCTGCCTGGCCTGGGCCACTCCAGTGATTCAAAGCAACCATAAACCTGTCCTAACCAGCCAGTTAATCCCAACATGTGGCTGCTTTACATCATTCCAAAGTAGAGAAGAATAGGTTGATAAATTTGTCCCTCTGTTTTGTTTGGAAATGAAACTTAAAAATAATCTGCAATTATTTTGCAATGTACAGGGGTGCATAATAATATAATGCATAAAGCTCTGCTTATATCCCAGTTGTGCTATTCTTTAAAAATATTCTGCAGGTGCATGTTTCACTTCCACCTTTTAATGCAGATGCACAGGGCCTATTTATCGGCACAAACTCTTTGAAAATGCAGCCCATACTAATTTCTCATATCCTTTATGGCCTAAGTAATCAAATAAACATAACATGGGTGAATGCAGGGCAAGGAAGTATGTTGATAATTACACATATATATATTTCTTTTTAAGAAATTGGTCTCATTTAAAAAAAATGAATGGATTAGATAAGTCAGTATAGAAATTAAGAGCACTATACATAGATGTAGGCAGCCTCAAATAAGATTAATTCTGAAAAATGATAATGTGTTAATCTACTGTAGTCAGACACAAGCGTGATAAACAGCTTCTCTTTATGAATAGAAAAATAATGTATTTCTGTCCCTAATGAGAGGGTTTTCAATACAATGCAACTTCTGAAAGACCTGTTTTAATGAGACTATTTTTAGCCCTTATTTTTCATGTATTGAAGGGAGAGAAGATGCCAAGTAGGAACAATCCAGTAAGCTGAACAAAAACAAAGGGGAAAATAATTTGGCAGTGACAGACGGAGTCTTATTTTACATATCTGTGATGGATATGGTTTGAACTCCTACTGCTTTTTATATCATGTATTGGAAACATTTTTTGCTCTCAGGAAAAAACAGGAGGAAACTTAATCATTAAAACAGTAAATAAATGAAAATTTCCAGGAGATTTTATCTTCATCATTGTAGGTATAACATCAAAATAAATGTAGCATCTTGGACAGAACCATAGAGCTAGTGTATACAATATAGTCTGTGTTGTATGCATTTATTAACATGTAGCATTGGATTTTAGTCCATGAATTTCCTTTCAAATAATTTTAACTGTCTCTGGCAATCTAGATATACCCTGGCATTTGAACTTCTCCACAGTAATGGGTTGCTATATCTTTGTGGTGAACTAGGATAAATTAATTCAGTTAACTGTTGAGTGACACTTTTAGGAGCCTAAGGGTATTAGTAACCAGATACCACTGAATTTCAGTAGAGCTTGGGGCCCAGATCCTATTCCACTTATTCATCTTAGGTGTCTAAGGGCAATCCTGCTTAGGTCCCTGGAAAAGAATTAACGTGTACTTTTGTAACGTACCTGCATGTTAACCTGAAGATTAAAATCACAAAAAATAGTGAGAAAAAGGATGACTAGTAATAGAGATTGTTCAATGAAGTGGATCATCTGTGCCAGGGTATGTCCCAGCAGAGTGGATCCACTTCATTAAGCAAAAACACACATTACCCATTGTCTTGCCCATTGATGCTGTGAGATCATATTCAATGTGTTCTCCCAGGGCTTGATGTCCCAGTCTTGCATACCCCAGGAATTCCTCAAGCCTTCTGCCCAGTTTTCCCTGCTTATTAAGACACATCCCAAATTTTCTGGGAATACATCTGGGTAAGTGGGGAAAGTCAGTTTTCTCACTTACCCAGCTGTCTTACCCAGCTGTGCTCTGGAGATCATGAGACTCTGGTTGGGTAAGCTGGGAAACCCCAAATTTCCCCTCTTACACAGATGTACCCTGAGATTCCCCAGGTATGTCTTTTTAGGTGGGAAACCCAGGCAGGCTCCTCTAGGGCTTCAGGGGTCCAATCATGCAGAGGATTTCCCAGGATGCACAGGATCAGGCCCCTCAAAGCCCTGATCCTTTGCCCAGGTCAACTCTCCTGCCATAAAGCAAAATAGATGTCCACCACAATAAAGCAAAACAAAGTATTACTACTTTCCTATACAGCCACAAATTTGTGGTATGACTAAAGGTGTGGATATCTGTAGAGAAAAGGAAGGCAATTTCTGTTCCCTGAGGTCTATTGGTTTAAATTGTTATCTTGCTTGGTTTGTTCTCTAGTTTCCTCCATGTCCTTCTTTGGTTTGAATACTCTTCATTTATTCTCCTGTCTTTCTTTGATATCTGCAGATAGAATAGGAAACACCTGCAATACATTTCCTCCACTTGTCTCCACTACATAAGATCAAGGATCTACCTCATGAGTGACATTTGCATTCTTCATGCATGTTTTACAATTGTACATACATACCCTGCTGGGGTAGCCAAGGTTCTAGTTCTCATGACTCCTTTTCTTTGTATTTATCATGTGTCTTGAAAGCATTTATGTATTTTTTTTTTAATTTTTTGTCAGCAATTCCCAAATTAGGTGTCTGGTTTTAAGTTTCCTGATAAATAAGTTTGCTTGCAGATGTTTAAAAACCAATTCCCTGCCCCGCACCCGACCTCCAACTGCATTACCAGACGAAGCAGCATGTAACTTCGACCCAGCTCCCCAGTGTTTGTATAGATCAGGCATTTCAGCAGAGCTTTTTGGCACTTTTATCTGAAGCTGGGTCAATCAGTTATTAGATAAAAGCACCATAAAAGCCCCATTAAAGCACCAAATCTATACAGACATTGGGTGAGCCAGGTCAAAATAATGCATTGCTTCATTTGGGCATGCGCTGGGGCTCAGCTCAGGAGTGCTCTGAGTTTAAAGTAAAACACCACTTGTTTTCTCTTTCCTTTTTTTTTAATGTCTGCACCCAGCCTAAGATCTCAGCTGGCAAAAACCCTTATTTCAAAAGAGATGCTCTATAATTTAGTAATGCCAGGTAAGGATCTCTGTGAGACTCCTCTGCCTTTTTTAGCAGCCCTTTTATTATCTTGACACCATTTTTCTACAAGTCAATTAGGCTGTGAATATCTTGAGCTCGAGCCAATGTATATAAACCCGTATTCATTTGCAAAGCACTTGAACTTATACTTATCAGATTGTAGACCATGGTCAGATCTGACCACAGCTTGGGATGTCATGCTTGGCAAAGATAAATGTTGTGTGTACTCTGGTGTGTGCTTTGCAGATGTGCTATCAAGTCTTGCATTTTCCAGATAATCAAATAGTCTAAAATCAGTACTCCCCCCGCCCCCCCAGCATGAGCAGATCTATAGCTACAGTACTTAGAAGCATCGGGCCAAGCTTTCTTTGGTCACTATCATTAGCTGTTCTGCTTGAATATTTCTGTATTTTTGACAGAAATATGTTTTCTAATGTCTATATTCACTAGTGGCCAGCACTAAGAGTTTTTTAGGCCTTCTTTTGCATTTCTTTATACCCAAGTATCCTTCATTATCCTTTGCAACAGATCTTGATGTAATACTTTAGAAATTACAGACTTTTCTCCCCAAAGGAGCCACGTACTACCAGCAGTTCTGCTTCAAACTGGTAATAAGAACTCGATAAGTACTTTTCAGGCCATCCTGCATTAATGGTTCATGATAATATTTGTAAAGACTGATCTTGTGTCATGGCATCTTGTGGCAAGTACAGTCCACATTTTATCAGAAGCTAGGAACAATTTCTTTAACAGATTAATATGCACAACTCTGGATTTGGTTCTATTTCTCTTTGCTCAAAAGCTCTAAACAGAATATCTGCCACCGCTGACTCTTTCCCTGGTTTATATTCTAATTTTAATTCATAGAACTGCAATTGAAAGATTAATCTCTGTAATCTTGCTGTATCAGCAAGCCCCATTTTTGCAATTACCACCAATGGCTTCAGATCTGTTTCAGCTATTATTGGTCTCGCGGATAGAAAGATGTGGAACTTTTTACATCTGTGCATCAGAGCTAAAGTCTCCTTTTTGATTTGTGCATGCTGGGCGTGTCTACACATGCCCCCATGACATGGCTGTTACTGTGCCTTCATTTAGTATTTCCTTTTGGAAGTACTAAATGATACCAGCCCATACTTGTGCTGTGCCGGTGGCGCACAGTTATTTTTAACTACTACATAACTATTGCCCAGGGAATGCATTGCTATGACGTAGCTGCAGCATCATGGTTTGTGCCTGCGGATGCTATGTCATCGTAGCACATTGCTACTACAACATAGCATCATGTGTAGACGTTCCCACTGACAGTTTTTATTAAAGTCCTGGAAGCATAAGCTATGGGTCTCCAATGCTCCTCATACTTCTACATGAGCGCTGCCCCAAGAACTTCCTTAAAGTCATCTGTAGACAGCTTTGTTTGACATTTGTGGTCAGAGAATCTAAGCACTGGAGCCTTTTGTAATAACTGTTTTAGGTTCCTAAACTCCTTGTTGTGATGCCATGCCCATATCCATTATTTTTGTGCAGTAAAGCTCTTGGATTACTGCATTTTTGTGCTAGATAAGTAACAAGCTTCCCTACAAAGTTTACCATGCCCAGAAACGTTTGCACTCCTTCCTAATCTTTGAGATGTGGCATATTAGAAATTGATTGTACCCTGCTGGGATCTATTGGCACTCCTGATCTGTTATTTTTTTGCGCAAATATGTTATTTCTCTGACTCTAAATTTGCACGTTTTTCTGTTGAGTTTTAACCTTGATGACCAAAGCCTTTCCAGAATTCTCTGAAGCCTCAGTTCATGTTCCCCCAGCATATGTCCCCATATTAAAATACCATCTATGTACACTTTTATGTCACCTTCAATGCCATCAAAACATTTGTTGTATATATTTATGAATCACTTCTGGTGCTGAACATAACCCAAAAAGCAATCTGTGAAAGCAGAATCTTCCATATGGAGTGTTAAATGTGTACAAATGTCAGCTATTTTCCTGTAATGGAACCTGCCAGAGCCCAAATGATGAATCTAATGTAGAGAAATATGTTGTTTGTGCCACCCCTACAAAGGTTTCTTCCTGGTGGGAGTGGGAAAACGTTCCCTTTAAAAAATATATTTATTAAGTTCTTGTGGGTCAATGCAAAAGGTGAGGGGCTCCTTTTTGCGGGGTGGGGGAGGGAGGACAGGAAGGGGAGCACTATAACTAAAGTAAATGAACCCAGTCTGTCAGTTCGTTTTTCTCAATAATATCCTTTAGGAACCAGTTTCTCTAGTTCTGCTTTCAGGTTTTGTCTTGGAGCTAAAGGAATTTGGGACAATATAGGGTTCAGACAGCTCAGTTTTATATCATTTGTTCAGCTTTCCAAGCTCCTCAGATGCAATCTACAACTTATCTTCAATTTTACTGTACTCCTCTATGGTATATGTTCTCTGAACAAGACCTAGTGCCTGCCAAGTCGTTAGCCCTTATATAAGTACATGTTTTCCTGGCACAACCACAACATGAATCTGTTCATTTTGATTATTTACTTTTATCTCCAGGCTACATGTGCCAATTATAGGAATCAGCTCCCCAGTGTAAGTTCAGAGCCTCATCTGCTTTCTGCGAATTTTTGCTTTCAGTTTCATGCCCTTTAGAATAAAGTCTGGCATAGGCTTGACAAGCCAGTCAACTGATGGGTTGAATAATGCTAATTGACTGGTCAATTAACTGCATATTTTTGACTAGTCAAAGATTATAGTAATTTTACAGAAAAAAAAATCTACATTTTTTATAGTTTCATAGTTTCTAGGGTCGGAAGGGACC